ACTCATACCGGATACTTTAATCAGAGTAAAGCCATGCCATTTTAAGGCAAAGATTACAACTTCATGTGAGAGGGTGTTAACAACTGACGCTTTCCTAAGGTGATGATGGGTTCACCCACGACAAGTTGACCTGCATTAGTCGTCCAATATATCAGATGTCCCAGCTTTGGAATGGAAAATCGAGCGCTCAAGCTGTGCAAGGCTTGGTATGGTTTTTGGTGGTGTGCTTAACACGTGCGCATGCCGCCAAAACGAGGCGACGCACGCATGCAAGCACGCTCTGGCATTGTGGGTGTGGTGGGGGGACGGTCGATGTTGGAGTGGAGGTTACTGCGCGCTTCAGGCACGCCAACGCATGGGGACGGCTAGTCACCCAAGGCAGGGACGGGGGTTTATACGACACATCTACTTTGCGTGAATCGGGAGCTCCAGTATTTTGTAAATTATCAGTCTATTGCCTTTATAGCTGAAAACACGATATTTCTCATCGTCGTGTTACATCAAATCATCTGGCAAGCGCGCTTGTCTACTAACACAAAGTCGGTAAAGGACAGAAGTACCCGAATTTACAATACCCACGCAAGTCATCCTCGAGTAAAAAAAATTAGATTCGTGTAGCTAGGCTTCAGTATGTCATCTTACCTTGAACGAAAGGGTCAGTGACATATCAAGAGGTTTAATTGGGCAGAAGTTTAATTGGAAGAGAGGAAGGTCTTAAGTAACGACGAGCAAATGGCTTAAAGGACCTTTAGGAAGAGGGACCGCGACAAACCGGAATGTCAAATCTACTTATACCATCTCATCGACCCGATTCACTTGAGGGAATCCAGATCATTATTTGAGTACTTGTGTTCCAACCTATAACTAACGAGTTTCCACTAGACCAGGCATTTGGGTGGCCAATCAAACCACAGAACACCTGATTCGCGAATGGAAGTTGAGTGCACGGTGGATGGTCTAAGTCAATCTCTAACGGGCAAAATACGGTAGCCCAGCATTCCTGAAAACCTTTCATCCATTGTCGAGCAGCAACATTGCATATTGCTTGGAAACTTGTCGAGAGGACTAGCCTGGGCGGTGGTCACTTAAATTAAATACTTGAAAAATCACAGTAGACAATCTTACAGAAGTTAGGAGGAAAGGATTTCGGCAAGGTAGAGTGAGTTCAGGAAATGAAATTTAATATTTACGATGAAAAAAGTTGGATCTTAAAGACAGGTGTTGTGTTTTCAGTGGATGTTCAAGTTAAGTGATTTAGCTGTTTCTGCGTCAACAGACGCAAACCGCAAAAGTGCAGAACGAAGACCAAAACGACGGGGACTCGACCGCATATTACGTCAGCAAGAGTGGTGGTTCTGTGTGAAGAGACGTCAGCATAAATACGGACAAATGACCTACGAATTTCTGAACACAGAACTCAAAATAATCAACTGGATTAACATTTACTCATGCCTAGTAAGAATACTTGCAAACTACCTTGGATGCATTTCACATGGGCTGGTTGATCACCGCCAGGAAACTGAGGGAAGGGTGATTGAAGCAGGGGGCCTAATTACGTTTATTGTATGGTAAAAATGATAGCCAATGGAATCAGGAATGAATGTGGCCAGTTTACTTGATGCTAGCTAAAAACAATGTTTTGGACGCTTCTGATGCCGGGTTTTGCCCGGCATCAGATTTAGAACTTGTTGCCTATTATACATTAAATAACTCTGATTTCTGTAAAAATAATTAGTCAACGATTGGTTTATTTTATATAGAGTAGGATTGCCATGAAGTTGTACTCGTGACGTCCCAAAAGACATCTGCTGTGTTCATCCAAGTGACCCTTCAATATTTTAATTTCGCTATTCAGCAAGGTCAATTCAAATTGCCTGATGCTTCCTCCTGCATTTAGATGGTTGCTGGTGTTGCGATCGTACCCAGGCCGATTTAATAGTTGGTAAGTTTACCATTTGTCAGACTGCATGTAGGAATCTTCTCCTACATCGCCTTTGATGGAAGGAATCAATGTCGCTACATCTCAATTGTGCATTTATAGGCCACAAACATTTGTAGCTTAACCATTGCCGTATGAGCCATGCTATATGCAGGATCGGCTTACTTTTCCTCGGCATGAGCACCTTTACGCAAGAGGCGGTCAAGATTGCACTTACGCCACCCAGCAAACCTAGTTTGGCCGGTTTGTGCTGGGTTTTCTGGTATTCATTTCGGTTCTCCTCTTCTAAAGACAAATGCACTTTCCGAAAAAAACTTCACCGCGGCGGATGAAGCAGTTAATTACGGTATTAAAGGCCCAACCAGGAAGCTTTGGAACTCTCCTGCTAGAGAGGTAAACCACTCCAGAAATTCCACAGAACCTCAGATTACAGTTAAGTCCTCCTTTGAAATCACCTGAACGCAGAAACAGGTTTCCATTTCGACAGATAGAAAAGTCTGATAATTTATTCTTCAGCGTTTCCATACCGGGACGTCCTGTCCACGGACCTTTTTGTTCGTGAACATCACTTGCTCAACTCATCGTCGATAAGATTGATCGTTTACTACGAGTCTTTTTAAGAGAATAAATGATGACTCCATTGCTTCACTGTGCTTCACACCAGTCCACAAAGCTAATAACGACAGTTTGAGATATGTGCGGAAATTGGCTTAAAAAAGGTGGGAATTACGCTAAAGTAGCACTTAAACCGTCATTGCATACTTCAGCATAATAAGTGAACAGGCAATAGAGAATTGATTTTCATTGAAGTGGAGAAGGTTAAACCTAAAGCAAGATTATTAGAGCAAAAAGATCTAAAGCTTTTGGATTGAGGATTAAATAAAAATTACCGATGTAACAGAAGGGATTGACTACAAGTTAAATCACCATATCTGTAGTTGTAGGTATGCATTTTACCCATAAGGTCTCATGTGAAGCCAAAAGAGAGCAAAACTTTCGAGCAAATAACTATCTAGCAGTCGACTTGGTTAGTTTAAGTAGGGATACTAAATAAGGGTTAAACGTGGCGTAAAAACAGAATAGGCATATTGCAGTAATAATAATTTGTATCTCAGTACGAGAAAGAGGTTGCGGTAGATCACGAAGATTGCCAATGCAAAATATTCATGAATTTATTGAATATCAAGTTTCTGAATTCGGGCAATGGTTAAATATTAGTAAGTGCGCAAGCTATACTACTAAAAATTAATAAAACATTTCTGTTCAAGTTACTAATATTTACTGCCACATTAATTATTATCTTGCATTAAAATACAAATGATTATTTTTAAATAAAATTATTTGGTACATTATTGTATAAAAATGCAACAATATGTCTATATTAAAAATTTGCAAGCACAGACTCTAACACGTTTTAAGTTAAAAACATCTTGCCCTCAAAAGGGCTTCGCGTCTTATGCGCGGCTGGGCCGGCAGGTCCAAGCTTGGAATGGTTATCAAGTCATTCCGGAAGCATAATCTTTGCGGTGGGATGGCTCGTAAATGATGGGCCGCCTGATTTCAGATGTCGGGTTGCGTGCATTGTAGTGCGGGCGGCGGCGTGGGCCACGTTGGACGTCACTGGCTGTACTACTCTGAATTTGTCGGCAAAGTGAGTGATATGAACCCACACAAATTTCTCAGTAGTACTCAAGCAGGAAGGTACTTAACCATGCAATTAAAAAATCTGCTTACTTGTCACTAATTGCTAACTTAATTTCGGTATATTCAAGCGCGTCTCTTAACAGATCTAATTTATCACCATTAGACTTATCCGATTAAGTAAATTACTTAGTTCTAATTTAGTAGATTTCACGATAAAACGCATGGTCAAAATATGTTCAGACATTGACTTATTTTAAAGTCATTTTTTTTAATTAGGAGACTATTGAGGTCGAATATAGTTCGTTAGTTCTCATCTGCCCTAACAAAATTTATTTAAAGTGAGCTCTTAAGTGGTGTCATCATTGTCATTTTGCATTACTCTATGTGACTGACAGCTGACTATTATATTATTTAAAAGCTGATATTCGGTGCTACAAGTATTTTCTGGTCTTGCCTTTATGCATTTGTGATTAGCTTCAAAAACATGGGACATTTATGAAATTCGGCAACACCGTGATCAATGCAAGAATCATTTATGGAAACATGAAGTGTGCATTAATCTACCTGAGCCCATCGGACGCTTGAGTATATTTGGAGCCAACAGCGCACCATCGCTTCCCGTAGTTATAAAAAATTCACGTTTCGAATAATTTTGTACCATAATTTGGAAATAAAATGTATCACAGAATTATCTACTAATTTTTTTAACGTAGAAATTTTAATATTGTCATTTACGCCAATAGGTTTGACTAGTATTTAATTGAATTAATGTGTTTAGGAGATAGTGACGTGAAAGTTTAGGACGGTAAATATATGTTTACATCTTTTGATGCAGAAAATCATTTTAGCATGAATTGACCTAACGACTTAATCTTTGTTTAAGTTTTCGGTTAAGCGTTCAAACTTCGCTTGTTCGTTGTTCCCTGCATCATTGCAGTGTCCTCGGTTTTTCCGGTTGATTTAGATGAGGTGTTTTTTTAAATATTTTCCGATTATCAGAATTGGTACTACGCACAGTTTTTTGGGTGATATCAAAATATATTAAATCGGACCAATGAGTCACCAGCGCTGTAGGATGGTTTTGGCGTTTTTTGTTACTTAATACCATTGATTAGTATAACTTAATTCTCTGTGCTGTTATTTACTTGCGCTAATTACTATTGTGCTTGTGTGAGCTACCTCTAAACCGCCATTATTTTAATTGTTCGGGCTATTTCATATTAAGTCCCAGGTGCTACTCCTTTTTAGCTTTTTGCCCAAATCTTAATGTTTGTACGACCATCATGAACAGTTCAGTTGACTTATTTAATGCATTTACTGTTTCGGGAAGGTGTTGATTCCTTCGAAAACACATGCATGTTTAATGCGCTATTTGTACAACTTAGTAGCTGATTTCCTTTATACAATCCACTAGAAAATGTCTGATGCTGAAGATAGTGGAGAGGAGTTTATTGTCGAAAAGGTTTTACGTGTGAGAATACGAAATGGAAAGAAGGAATACTTTCTCAAATGGAAAGGCTATCCCGATGAGGAAAACACATGGGAGCCGGAGGAAAACCTGGATTGCCCCGACTTGATTAAAGAATTTGAGGAAAATCAGAAGAGATCTACGAGACTTCGAACGTCCGGGGGTATCAAGCGAACTAGCAATGCTTCCATTTCTAGTGATGTTCATCACGAAGATGATAGTGTGAATGAGACGGAGGACCAAGTTGTAAAGCCCAATGACACAACTTCCACCGTTAAAACTCAGTCCACCGAGATGGATCTCCAAAACGATAAAGATGATGCTGCTTTACAAAATACAAGAAAACGGCGGTCGTCGTCCCTAATTTTAGAAAAATCAGGTATTGAAGAAGCTGGTGATAATGTTGATAACGCCGAACTGGACAAGTCTCCGGCCAAATCGTCTGTGAAGGTTTATATATGTTTTGGTGTTGGGCATGGCTTTTTCAAATCCCAAGAAATAACACTGGTTTTCTTTGATAGGTGCCTACTTTTCCAGATTCACAATCTGTTACCAAAGTACATGGTTTCGATCGCAACTTGAAAGCGGAACGGATAATCGGCGCCACTGAATCTAGTGGAGAATTAATGTTCCTGATTAAATGGTGAGAATTTTTTTAAAAATTCCTTAACCTTGATTATTTGTGATAACAATATTTTTGCCGCAGGAAGGACAGCGACATTGCAGATCTTGTTCCGGCTAGAATCGCCAATGTCAAGTCCCCACAAGTGGTCATCAAGTTCTATGAAGAGCGTCTTACTTGGCATACTCCGGATGCCCAAACCCCCACTAAAAACGATGCAACCACAGCGTAGGATCTTTACAACAATCCTGTCATTATTCAAGCATTTAACTTGTTTTTGCTGTACCTATAGGAACTTACCCTGCTCATTTTTTGACTCCAAAACACAGAAGCTATCATCAAACTTTGATACCATTTCTGCACGGCAAAGGTCGCATGTTTTTAAATGATAATTAGTATGAACTTTAAAGCCATTGTTATAAGTAAAGCGTTTAATTTCTATACCACATGTTGCTTTTTCGTTTGCATATTGAACCATTTGGTTAAAGCATTAAGTTCAGTTGATTCCATTTGGAGGTTTCTGAGTGCTCGGTTAACCATCGACTGAGACCAGGGGTTACCTGGAACAACTCGTGTTTGCACTGGCCAGTGTGATAAGGCTAACGAATGAACTTCGTTGGCTAGGATGTTGAGGCGAGATCAGGAAGTGGAGCTCCACTGCTATTCGTTTAGAGTTGTGGGTGATACGAGCAACTTGTGTTAATCTAGAAACCTCCACTCAAGCCGTCGTTGGCTTTAGTGTTCCCTACACTTTACTAAATTGTTTTCTGCGGTTGTTAGGGTCTGCTGAGATTATTTCTCCTGGGTAAAGGTAAGTGCGCTGACTTTAAAATTTCCCTCTTCTCTTTACCAACCTTGATTTGAAGCATTGAAAACAAGACTAGCATGCTTCGTACCCTACGTATCATTCCACGTATTCGCGTATCATTGTGAAGTGCTATTATTGTTTCCAACATGCCCTCAAAAGTCCAGAATTCCGTGTTCATATTGTAATGCTTTATTGACAAATATGCCAGTTTTCCACCTTCAAGAACTCCCTGCGACAGTGTAGATGGTGTATCCGCCATGCTTGTTACGCCATTGATTTATTATCTGAATCCGTTGTCTGTGAACACGTGGAAAGTCAGCATTTACTGTCAACTAACTGAACATAATTTTAGTCATCAAAGAATTTTGAGATTAAAGAAATGAACAGAACGACGCTATTCGTGATGATGAAAGTCTATAGACCAATTACGATGGACAGCTCCTTCTTCGTGAATTCAGAGGTGGGAAAGTAGAAGTCGTTTACGTGTTGCTTGCCAATGGCCGCATAAATTATGGTCAATTGATAAAAAAATGGTTTGTAGGGTTAGTTCTACACTTGGACTGACGGTAAAAACAAGGTTCTATTTTCTATGCTGCATACCAGATTCGCAACGCGCTAATCAAATTTTATGCCCATTACGAATGCAGGTCTCCACTTGCTCGTCGTGTAGGCCTTGGTGCTGGGATTGACGAAGCATAGTAGCTGGTGGTGGGGGGAGGGAACGGTCGATCTTATGAGAGAGCCTACCTTTTTAAACGAATTTAAAGTACTGAGACTGCTTTCAGATAGCTCGGATTCAGAAGTTCCAGAGCCAGACATCGAGATGCCCGAGGCCGATCTGCTGTAAGATATGCGGCTTTGTAAATCCTTTGGATGAAAAAAGAACTGCATTAAATTCATCAAACAGATTGAATAACACTTCAAATTTCGAAATCAGTCCAATCAGGGCTTTGATTTCCAGTTGAAAAGCAGGTCGAATCGCGAACAAAATGAGCAGTATTCATTTCAACGACCTAAGCGCGCGTTCAAATACACATTTGCATTTTTGGCAACCAGAGTTAATTGCTGGAGTATGAATTCAGAATTACACTGTGGTAGTCTTTCAGGTAACAGATCTTAATCTTGATTTTGGCATCGATAAGTTTCGTGTCAGACAAATTTAAGGCGACACGACAGTGTGTTGAAACGTTAAATCTATTGGTGGCTTTTGACTGCATGCTAATCTACGTGTTATGAGTCCACGTGGTGATGTCTGTCTAGCCAGGCCGTCGTCATCACGCTTACTCAGAGTCCGGTTTCTAAAAGCGGCTCAGGCGGTCCGGTCATGCAAGACGGCTGGATCGCAAATTGATGACACTGGGGAGGGTAGGTGAAATTCACGCTTCAAATGACGCGCAAGCTGACCCAAACTCTTTCCAAAGGGCTACATTAATCACAAGTCATGTGGATGATTCTCTCAACTCAACCTTCCTGTTTAGCACTAACCGAGTATTTTGTTAATAGTAAGGAGGGAGAAGGTTTAGCCAATACCTTAGACGTTTCATACTCTGAAAAGGTGTTAATGAGTTGGAAGAATGGGGAGGAGGTCTCATTGTCAGCGACCGTTTTCAGACGTCCATGGCACATGGTGATAAGGAAGAACCGGTGATAAAATTTCATCAGGGACATTTTGAAGAATGTCTGATATAATGTGCACATAAAACACTACAATCAAAACAGCTTTAATTGCGGCAAGGGTTAATTATTACAAAAAAAGATACATTTTCACGACTCATAAAGACAAAATTAAAGTGTGATGAGGTAACTTGGATCCAATCTAGGTCGAGCGTCGCTTCCCTTCTGTTACCTGATGTGTTTTGGTCAGCAAAATATCAGAAAAAATATCGGAAAACAGTGGTTTTTGTACCACTGCAGACCAAGCGTGGCGAAATTCGAATACGTGCCGAGAATCTGCACATCCCAAGAGTATTTTTGCTTACCTTAAGTGATTTTGAAAATCGAGAAATGCAGGGTAGCACGTAATGGCAGACAGAATCACAACTTGGGTATCACATGAGGGTCACAGTGATAGACACTAAACACTTTCACTACACTCAAATTACCTAAGAGGTATGAAAGCATCATTTGATGGGAAAAGGTAAAATTCATAGTATGGGTAGAAATAGCTTGGCAAGGTGGTTGTGATGAAACCAAAGCGCAAATATCCGGGACAAGCACTGCAAGCAAGTTCCACGTGCAGTTCCTTTTGCACAAAATCCCCTCCTGCAGCGCCGAAACGGACTGACATTCATGCGGCCAGGGAAATTTAGCACGTGCGTACCAAAAATTCTTTATCATCCATAAAATCGGACATGATTTCCACGATTTGTCGAAACAATTAGACTGAATCCCTTTTCTATCCAAACCTGTTACACCATTTAATCTCAAGAGAGTGAAAATAAGCCGCCTTCATTTACGTCGTTATAAAGTTAACAGCTTACCATTTTAACAGTTTGCAAAGTTGCTGATGTTTGCACAAGAACGACATCTACCTCCTTTTGTTAAACCACATCTTTGGTCTCTGGTAATTACTCTCAGAGTAACTTAGTTATGATTAATCTCCGGTCATCAATAGCCGTAACTTGCCGTATCTGGGACCGAAGTTGCTTCTTTATTTAACGTATAGTAAAGAAGGACACTCCAAAGCAACCGCACTGTTTCAAAAAACTCCGATCTCTGCGTGTCCCAAAACTTAATTTCGGCATCAGGCGCCACGATCACACTGATTAGGCTTCCTTCATCCCACATTATAGGTGGCATGCATTTTGAGGGAAAAAGATTAAACATTTTCGAGTTGTTCTTTCACAATGACATTGATGAATAAATGAGGTATTTTCTAAGTGAGAAGTACTGCCTCCTGCCGAAACAAAGTATTGAATACTTCGGATTTCCGGGAATTCAATATTACAGGTTTGCTTAACACTTAGATTATCAAGAGAAATACATCATTTGGTGGACTGCAGGATCTTAGTGGACAAAGGGATATCTATTTAATTTGATTTCAGTGGCTCGTGCTAATCAGAATATCCGGATAATGAAAATTTGGGTGCTTAAGCTGTATAAATGCAGAGTAATCATGCATAATGACATAATCTAGCAACAAAACATCAGTATTTTTTATTTAAAATCAGTACCACAAAAAAGGATTAACAAGGAAGCTTACCGTAATGGTGCGATTTAAGACGTAGCGACTGATGAATCTGAAGTCTGACTGATCGGCGTCACTCGAAAAATCGATCATCTTCAACAGACCAAATATGAGATCAATGATGTCCCCAATAGTGTACAACAAGCTGCCAAACCATTCGTCCAGGTAGCGATGGGTCTTCATTCGCAAATAATGGCTCGAGAGGATAAAGTTGATGAAGACGACTACAACTTTGGGGATAGTTATGAGCGAAGTTATGTCCAATGGCATGCATCTAAAACAGGAACGCGAAAAGCAAAACATGTATAAAGGTCACTTGTAACATTTACATGCTAGGCCTGATTTGTCCGTTGTTTTAATTCTGAGTCATATTGATTGCTGCTTACAATTTGCTCACGTGTGACGCTCGCCATTCGACCCACGCACGCCGATCTGGCCTGTTGTTTGTCCTTCTCTCCCTTCCCGCACTCTCGCCTTCCTCAAGGCGCGCCCGTGAGTCCGAGGGCAACGCCAACTCTCATCGCGGCCATCCCTTTTCCCACTCTAACTCTCCCAAAGCTCTTGCCCTCTGAGTTTGTATGCGGTAGTATGGAATACATCCGGTTCTTCCAGCTATTCTTCTATCGTGTGCCTGGTAGCTAACCATGATGGTGTGACTATCTAAGAGGGGCGGGCTAACAGTCATCGCCCTATTTAGGTCCCCGCTCGGTAGGCGCGTTACACACGGAACGAGCGTTTTGTTGAATTCTGTTTAATGTGTACGAAGCAGATTTACGAAAACGTTTTCGAACGTTCCGAATCACCTTCCTTTCACCGCGGATTCGGCGTGTCTGTTCGTCTTAATAACGAAGCTGGTGTAAACGCATACTGTTTACACCAATGGACAAAACTGGTAAAGTGGCGCATTTTATAATGAACAATGTCGATTGGTTTTAAGCCCAGTTTGCGTGAGGAGGCCCCCGCCGTGACAGTAAATGTATATTGCCTCGGGAAGCCTCAATGGGACACAGCAACTGAATCTTTCAGTGGTCTTCGTCCTGTAAAGAGAGTGAAAAAGTACAGTGGAGTGGGGGATTCCCCCTAGCACAGTGGCAGCTCGAGCAGCATTGTGAAGCCGCAGGCACACAAACTCCCGCATTACCTCAATCGCTGTGGACAGATTACGGGGACAAGGGGGCGGAAATGAAGCAGTTAGGTGAGCCCTACGAACCAGTCTTAGAAGCACGGCATTGTACAACGACTAACTTGCTAAAATTATTTTTTCGCATTTTTTGAAAATGATGTCACTATGGTAATGGATAAGACCAGTTCACAAACATTTTCCTAAAAATTAATTCCGTGATATCTTAAGAATTTGGTAAAAATTTTGCACAGTGAATTTTTGGGACATTTATAGAGGTAAAAAACGCATGTTATTAGAGTGAATTTGATCGAAGAGCCCAGACTCTACATTGAGAGCTGAGCAGTGATGAGTGCCGGGATCCTCATTGCAAGTTATGGTCACAGAATTACACTAGCAATATCTCCGTCACTCTCTACACGAAGTCAGCGTGGAGGTGGAGTTAGAGTGGGATAGGTGGCACGATGCTCTGCTGGTTCTTGAAATAATCGGCAGTTCTCAGTTTGCATTCAGTTTTGCCTCACTTTTCTCATTTATCTGCAGGCTCAAGACTGAGGCGATTAAGCGCTGAAAGGAAAGCGACTAGCAGGAGTAGAAGTCGACAAACTTACACGTAATTGAGGAACATGGGCCTGTTCTGTTGCAAGAGAACTTTGGCGGTGGTGGCGATAACTAGGGTGGAATGAAGCATAAAATTTTAGAAAAAGTAGCACACCCATAGTGTGCCTGATTATGCTTCTTTTCTGATGTTTACAACTCGCTAAAGTGGGATTTTAGCTAAATTTGTGTTACATTAATTTTGTTTTCATGGGATACTCATTTTGGCTAAAAACTAACGACTTTTCAAGGATTGGACATCCAAGCTCTTTGATAGCTCCACTTGGATATCGTATAGTCCTTCAGGGATTGCAAAATAATTGCTGGTACATAGCTTAGTAGTCCTTTTGTTGACTACCAGTTTCCTGAAAGTGAAAGCTATGACATTACTGAATTTATGCTAAAGTTTAGTTAGTACGCTACGGCTTGACAAGCGATGTGGCACAATCAAAACCACTGAGTTATTCTTAGGCCAAACGCAGTGACACAAACTTCCGTGCCAACTGCTCAGTGTGGTAAAATAGCCCTGTTTGGTTAATTCAAGTGTCGAATGACATTACCTGACACCAAATTTCTACAGTGCTTCGACACCTTCATCCTCACCAACTGACAGAAAGCCAGGTAGCCTAAGTTAGGAACTTGGAAGTGACAAGGTCAATGTAATAATTATGTTGCCAGTCGAATTCCCCGGCTCAATTTCACTCGAAAGTCCCTAGAACTCACCCACCTTCGTGCCAATCTCAACCAAAGGGTTTTGTTACAGGCTAAGGCCAAAGCTGGCGTAATTGCTGTGATTGCTATACTCAATTCATTGTAAAGTCGGTTACATCTGCAATTTCTTACACATAAAGAAGCATTAGTGTGCTAGTTTATTTAGTAACCGGGTGGAGAATGTCACTTGGCTAGTTAAATTCATAGTGTGCTTAGAGTGAAGCCTAATTTCTTGAAAATCCACTTTTTTTGCCAAAAAAAAATATGTTCCATTAAGTCAATTTGATGATACACACTAGGCGTTGCATCAATTAGCCTTTTCCAATTGTCTCTTGAAAAACGAGTGTAAAATGCAGTAGTGGCTATTGGAATCTAACATATACGTGGATTTTCCGCTCAAGTTCAGCGCAAGTGAGTTTGATTTAATCACATTTTGTTAGTAAAATGAAATAACTCAAGTTACGGGTTGGGAAACAAATAATTTCAAGTGACTTACTGACACAAACAACTGTACAGTACCAAAGCATCCGGCCCAGACTGTGAGTCTTACCAGAAAGCACGACTGACAGGTTGTAAGGAACGGAAACGAGCAGCTGCAGGTAGGCCCAAAAGAGGTGGTTTGGTCCACTTTTCTTTAAAGCAATCCAGCAGAATTAGAACAGAAGGAAAATTTACACGTATGTCCCGAAGACGTGGGACAAGGCCTACGGTTGGGTTACTACTTATGCGATTCTGCATTACTTCAAGTCCGTTGTAAATGCGGAGCTGTGTAATTGGTTGAAATACAAAGGGTAACGATCTAAAGACACTACTAATGTTCTTAAAGATACAATGTAGAGGCATGCAGCAGTGTGGCTCACCCATGTTTTCAGAACTCGACCGGGTTTTAAAGCTGTTGGATCTTCAATGCAAAGTAATTTAGATAAAATGACTGCTTCATGGAAACATGGGACAGATCTTAGCGCCAGCATTTTTGTAAAATCACCATTTCATATTTTTTTAATTCACTGTAAAATTACGTCATACTTTAGCTTACTCTCTAACACCAACGAGCAGGCCCTTGCCCTACACCACAGATACGGCTTGACAACGTCCAGGAGCATTTATTTCCTGGAGATGTCAATTTGTTTAACAAAAGTTCACTTTAGACAAGTTGGTTAACCACTCAAAGTAAGTGGTCTTTTAAGTATCCCGTGGAAATTTTTAGCTACCTCTGAATAGTGAGCTTGCATCGGCTGATTGAAGTCGCTGAAGTATTTGCGTTGGTAGTTTGGCACATGACTACTGCTCGCAAGGGCTGTTTTACAAAACCCTGATTACCGTCCCGGTAATCAGGGTTTTGGTTATGCACAGTGCTGCAAAGCTCTTCAACATGGCAACCTTCTATTGATTGTAAGAATACAAGTTCAGATAAAACATTCGGGATTTCAGCCAGCTTGCTATGGTGACTATATCTGCTTTAATCATAGTGCGTTTAAAACTCTTCGTCCTAAATAAGTCAAATTCAGGTGGGTAAGAATTTCACGCAAGCATTGAAGCAAAATGTGTAAGTTCGAGATTGGCAAGGTATAAGTAGTGATGTTTTGTCCTCTAGGTACCTTCAGTAGTAATAGGAGCTACCGAGATTTAATTTGGACAAAATATAGGACCTTGTTCTTCATTGACCGCATTTTGCTATTCGATTTAAAATGCACACCAACACGTGCGCGAGAATAAAGAACTATTTAAAACTCAAAATCCGACATCGAAGGAACGATAGCGTGGCGTAGTAAATTCTTCCACACTTACTAAGCAATGCTGGGCATTCGAACATTGATCCAAGTTAGTAGCCAAGTCGTGAACAAAGACAAAATTGATAATGATATGAACTACTCCAAAATTACGGAAGGCTGGATAGAATCTACAAATTTAACAAAAATGGCAGATGAGGAATTGGATTAGATTTTCAATTTTCGCAAAAACTCCAGAGCCAAATGCAGCTGAATAGATCGCAGTCGTACCGATTTTGTCGATAACTGTAGATCGTTGTGCAGAATTTAGACCTAAAAAGTAGACCCAGTAGCCAATAAATGCAAGCCATGGGGTGGTTAGGAGTATATGTAAAATTGAATAAGCCAACACAGGTTAATGCATTTTAACCTTGAATGCAAAATACTTTTTTGCTTTTGCTACCACAACACATTATGCACCCACGTAAAGCGCAGGCAGCTAAATTAATAATATAAAATTAGTTAAATGGTAGTTATTTGCATGTTATTGGAGCATGAAGTTGAGTTTCTACGTAAACCATGCGGTTTGCATTAACGGTGTGAATAAAGCGACTTATCCTCTCACTCTTCCATCTTCGCATCATTTTTCTCCTTTTAAGAGCTTTTTGCTTGCATCAGTACATTAGGAGGACTTCAATAATTACATCTGAAGTCGTATTATAGGTCCCAGAGGAATCTACTCAATTGGGACCAAAACTCCTGGGAGTTGCAGTCGTTACCGAACGTTACTAACATCACTGGCAGAAAATTGGGATTTCGGTTCCATCATCTCTCTAAGTGGTCAAAAATGTTGCATTCAAATCCAAACGGGTGGGCCCATTAGTAACTTTTCAACCCCATTTTCCCGTTCTACGTGGGAGGCAAATGTGGGCCTGGGGTTACCACTTTAAGCGCTTGATAAAGGTGTCAGAAAACAGATGATTTAAATATTGTTTCGCCACTACATAACAGCTGTCCAGACAGTGTCAGTTCGTAGTCCAAATTCTGCTTCTTAGCACTATATAATCATTTTGAGACGCCAAGGTCACGCTGCATTTACCAACCAGTTTCCATTGTGATAACAGAGGTCTAAAAGAGGCCCATTCCAGGTAAGGGTTCGTGGCGATGATCTAGAACCATTCCAAACCTTAAAAAGACCCTGCATAACCTAACCCCAGAAATTCGTGGATATAGGGAATAAAGCACCAATCAGGAAATTCGACGTCACAGAGGATTCGGGTTACACCCCAGGATCTCCAGTGTCCGGATTTCTTAAGTGCCACGTACAGTAGGGCTGCCCAAGGGCTAATAGGATATCAAAGGTGATTTCAGCTTTGAATGCTCTGATTTGATCAGATACCTGAGGCCAGGACTTTTAAACTGTAGACTGACCTTTCGTTGTGGCATAGTGCATGACATGATGAGTAGGCGTAGTGGCTGTTTAAGATGTTCTAACAAGCACTGGAACCACAGAAGATCGTATTTTAAAACTGATAGAGGGGAGCGAGGTTAAGTCAGATGAAATTGGGTTTTGTTTAAGGTAGTAAAGGAAACAACTCACGTCCAGTAGTTGTAGTGGGAGAGCTGGTGTCAGCTTGAAGTCTTCAAGTTGGGAATGTGGATTTGCGAGGGAAAATAGACTGTTTGACTAAGCGGCTACGAGAAACGTGCATCAACCCTTAAGAGCTGGTGACTTTGGGTTCACCTTGTCTAAATTACGGCTTTTAGTATAGGAAAAACACTACTCCCTCGTTGCTTAGCGTTGCGACTCAGCAGCCCCGTTTTGATCGCATTTTAAACGACCGAAGCTCATGTTGACATAACCCCGTGAAAGCCTGAGGTCCTTTGAATTACGTTTATTGCTCACATATCCATCAAAGATTTCTTTATTACTGAAATTTTGCAGTGGGAAAACTCATCGGTACTCAATTAGCGATGCCTGAACCGTGGAACTAAAGCTGTCAATACCCAACTTTAAAGGTTCTCCTGAGTTCCAGTTACTTTCCACTTCCACCTAAGTTTCTTTCGTATAGCAAATCAAACAGCTTTAATCAGGCTTCGTGCTAACCAAAAAATGGCACAACTGTTTGCCTTTGAATGTGAATAAATTTTATTTAATGCTACACTCCGCATTTTAGCCACTGTTTAAAGCAACCGTTTCTAAATGTAGCGGCAAATCTTTGCTGAAAGCGGTTTCTGTGTGGGTTTTTTTCCGAATGGTTCACTATTTGAGTGGACAAGACGCTGATATTTTATTTGAGTGAAATTCGTGCCTTTTTAACATGCAAATCACTAAATTTTATGAAGAAATCATGGTCCTAGATTCAAGTTTAGCCCCACCCTCTTTTCACGCTTACGACATCTTGCTGACCCACTGTATTGTATTGATGGAGGTAACCGGGTATCACCACGAAGAAATTCTGATTCTCATGTCTGGTGTACAAACTGTTTACCTTTTGAGATTCGTGTGGGATTTTGCTTTCCTGATAGCGCAAATACGAAGGATGGTTTTGCTTTGTTTGCAAAGACCTGCGGAAACTCTCGACTACAGCCGGGGACGTAGAAACACCGAATCAATCTGGCATTGCGTCAATCAAGTCCAAGCCTCTAATCGTGCAGGATCGACGTCGGCATCGTCGTAGTCGTCTTATAATCGAAGAATCCAAACCGGAATATCTGACTCGCTATTCTTGATTAATTAACAAACGCTAACGCACAGAATCAGATATTGTGTACCATTACTATCTTTTTCGCTCGCTAATAAAACCAAAGGAACCGCAATTTAAGAGCGCATTTTGAGTTTTCTGCCTCCGAGACACTGCTTGGCATGTTCGTGATGAGAGGCATAAGAAAGACTTACGTTGCAATCAGGACCAGTATGACAAGTCCAATTATAGAGAAAATGAAATTGATGATAAAAAGGAGCAGGAGACCAACATTGTGACGCAGTTCCTTGGGGACATCAGTTTTAAGGTTTTCCGAAGTTTCCGTCACCTAGGAAGTGTCTATTAGGAAAAAAACGAACTCGAATGACAAAAAAGAATCCAAAGTTTGTACAGCTGCAGTTAACATTGCCTTCATCCATGGTGGTTGAACAGACGCCTCGATTATATTCCAATGGAATGGTTTCACTTATCTTGACTGAGGCACATTCCAGTTTTCTCAGAGTTTGCCCCTTGTGTATTTTGAATGAAATTCGAATGGAAAATTCTTGATTAAAGGAAATCTGCAAAATCAGATACAAAATTTGTACATCGTTCCACAAACCTGCTGTTAATCTTGGAGACATTATTAAAGAAGAGTACATAAACACAGACACTTGTTAGATTTCAAGTCACATGGTAATGATTTATTAATAAGAAGGTTGAAAGAATAAATTTACACCACCACTTAGTAATAAAATAGTTTAAATTGGTCTTCTTAACATGCCTTATGTCTTCACGTTTACTCGCAAGAATGTGAGCACATGGGTTTGAAGTCAATTAGTTCAAATTATCAGATGAGTCAACAGGAAGATAAATCAAAACTAACTTAGGAAAATGTAGACATTTTTTAGTTAATTCCCTTAGTAGGCTTTGCAACTGGAAAAGTGGATCAAGCCATCACACAAATCCTCATTAGTCCGCACGTGCTTTGCTTGGGTGCGTCCCTGTGGTTAGGGTTCAGTGCTGCCTCGGCACGTTCGAACAGCCAGTAGACGAAACTCTTTATTGAAAAACGGACCTCACTTACCCCAAATTTATCTCCAAATCTTCCGACGTAGCAAAGCGAAGAAATAGGTCTCAAATTGATCAGCTTTACATACGCCTGGTGCGAGGAAATTTCATAACATGTTACATCCAGCGGAATTGGGATCTCCATACGTTCTACCGCAAACTCAGTTCTTGTTTCGTCATGCTTCACGTGGGAATCGAAATGGCAAATTCAGATCGCATCCAAGAAAACAAAAGAGATTATGCGACGTAAACCGTCACGGGCTAAGAGAGCTTTCGATATTTTAGACAGTGTTTGACATAAAGGTCACTTGGCTTAACGAACGTCGCCCACCCTCAAAATACAAGCTTATAGTGCTTCATTTTAGCACAACATGGTGTACGTTCAACTTGTTATAAATAATAGCTATAACTCCAATTAATTTGGTTGCCACTACTAAAAAAATTAAAAACCGATACAAACGTATAGGTGACTCAAACCAAAATAAAAACAAAACTTAATTTAGAGGTTAAATGCTCACAAAGGACCGCAGGAAAGTATCACTTATCAGTCTAGGTCATTCTAAACTGTTGTTTACCTACTCAAGTTGAGTTTACTCAGATGCTCGAGAAATATGTTTTATGTAAAATTAAATAAAGCACAAGGGTTTCAGTAAATGTACTGATGGTAAACATAGTAATTCTGGGGAAAAATAAAATTAAAAAAACTTGTGTCGAGCCTACATTCGAGGCCGCCAGTGGAGACACTTTGGATGAAAATCGATAAAGCGAGACGAGGGTACTGTGATAAAGGTAAAGGTCCTTTCCCATTTCGTCGACGATATGTGTATTGAGAATTTCTGATATAAGAAATACAAGCTGGTATAACCTAATACAAATGAAAAATAAACGAATCTTATTGAATGAGATCGGGATTATTGGTAAATGCCATTGACCATCGAAGACTACAAATAGACTCAATGCAAAACCATGTGATAGTTTTCGGGAGTTTACGGTCTTGGTGCTGCTTATTTGGCCACTTCCAAGTAAAACTTGGGCCGCGGAGGTGTCAGTGAGAGCAAATTAAAAACCACGCAAGTAACACCACAATGAGACGCAGAGGGTTTGGCATTTAGTTTTTTAGGCAATCGTCTGTGCTTCAACCATAAAACAGTCCATCAATCTAAGTGTTTACATCTGCGTTACATTCGCGTGAGAGAATATTAAGCACAAGATAACAAAAGCCCTGTCTATTCTTGAGTTTGAAATCGACCCCAAAAAGGCGTGCACATAAGCACTTACATGAATGAATGACTAGAATGTCCAGTTAACACACTTGATGTAATTTGTAGCGGTAAAGCATGAAGTGGTCTATTGCTATTTTAATAAACAGGCGATTCCTTCTTTGGTTATGGATAGCAAAAGCATATTAATGGCATAAACCAAGGCCCAGGCACAATCAAAATCGACATATACTGCAGAACATTAATAGAAAAATACAGAAATGGCAGTATACGGTGTTAATAAAATAAGTAATTAATTCACGGCTTCACAGTTTTACAAACATTTCTAGAAATTTGACATTTCAGCTTCAAAAGATAGGGCAAGAAACCTGCAATTAAGTAAGGCGATAATAAATGGCTCAAGGTCGAAAACCGGATATGGAATTTTTGCGTTTTAAAAGGTTGATATGTGCACAGTGCACTGGTCACTTTGGGTACAGGAAGCGCTTTTCTGTAGGCAGCCGAAATCATACAAATGACAGACAACCATCGCTTTAATTAATTTAGAACTATGCACAAATATTCTAGTAAAAAAAGAGGAACACAAGGTTTTCATTTCGAGCAGGCTGGGGCAGAAACTGAAGGGGATTCAGTATTCCCCAAGACGGCTCATAGCAGGTTAGGATTTCGTCATTGGTTACACAATTCCCCTAACCACGCAACTCCAGTGGGTGAGTCACCCACGGCGCCCTACTGACAGCTCCATCTGTGTTGACGCGCTTCATCCATCAGGTGCATTCAGACAGATCACTCGGCCTTTGACTGAGGCATTAAAAGTTCTTTGCACGAGGCCCTGCCTTGTCTTGCATTAGCGTGGGAAGCTGTGGGTACTGGCGTCTGATAAGGGATCTGGGGAACCCGTTACCTGAGGGAGTGTGTAGTCATGGTTATGGGCAAAACGTGACAGAAACATGCAATTTACTGGAAGCGATAGGGTGTGTAAACAGTAAGCTTAGAAGAAATTGTGCACGTTACTTCTTAACGTAATCCAGCTGCATTTTTCAGTGCCTTAAAGGATGCTGACTAATGCTCGCGAAAGTTTTGCAAATTTGTAGAAGATGATTAGGAGTGAAAACCGTGTGGCGAGCAGCAGGCGAGCACAGTTAGCAAGCGTGAGCGAACACGATTCAATCGATTTTTGTGAATGCACTTCACGCAACTCCGTGACCTCAGAGATCGACGCTTAGCAAAGCTATATAAACGCACGTGTTATCTTGTACGCGCACACACACTGCCGCCGCACCAGTAATTTAGTTGAGCTACGCGCCATCCGCATTCTCTACTCTTCTTTCGGTCGGGCCGAGTCAACGTAGATTGTCGGCCCTGGTGTGGTTTCACAAAACCGCACTGGGGCTCGCTACACATGTACACACATGTACATGCTACAGATCTTATGTCGCAACATGAGGTTAAAGGTCGAAATGGTAGTCTTTATTTAAATTAGTTGAAAATAAATTACAATAACCATTGGCTGAAACTTTTGAGGAAATCAGGGACATTTTCGTCTGGGTAAACGAATCTTATGAGATTCAATCGTTTTTTTTTCATAATTTTACTTTTCAGGTGAATTTCAGACCCTGATGCATGTTGTCGCCTCTTATTAAAGTATCAGTGGTGATGGTGGCATCTACGAGTGCTATATTTACTTACATTGATTACTTGGTATCACTCAGACGCGGGTGCACCGCAACATGGAGTGCTGTAGATTTTTGGTCTTAAGTTTGCATCCATTATAAACCTTCGCATTTCTCATTTCCACGACGTGAATAAAAGTGACTTACTTCTTTCCATTGATTGCCCGTCTTGGAGATTTTTCGGCAACCGTGTTTAGAACAAGCTCAGACAATCTGACGAGTCCGCTTTTGAAAAATCTGTTAAAAACTGGATCAATGTTGAAACAGTATTGTTTCCAAGTTTCAAAAACCCTCGATGCCAAACGCATGAATGAATAACTGTCTTTCTTAAAATTTGCTTCCCGCTTCAGTTGACCGTACAACATCATGTAAAGTATGGCACATCTAATCGAACCTACAAACAATGACAAAGTAGTCAGAAAAACCAGTAAAGAGCAAAGCGTCAATTAGAAACGCACAATTTGAAGTACCAGGGGCTCAGATTTTATTTCTAGCACCAAGGAGCTAGATTCAACTATTTAGACAATGAGGAGTCGGTCGACCGAAATCGTTACACTTTGGTTGATGGACAGAATGGTTTTGAGAAATACAGTCGGATTTCTCCATTAACTATTAAATTCAACCAAAAACGCGGGCTTCATAGGATGCAAAGTTACACAAATGGGTGATGCTAGTTACTAATCAACTTGTTCAAGTAAACACTAACAACTACTGGGAAACTTTCTGCTTCCAATTGCAAATACCGTTTGAGTTTTTAAATTTGCTCGGGGCGTGGAGGAAGGAAGCCTTGATACAAGTCACCGATGCAAAGTTATGAGCTCATCACTGGTCGCAATTCAAAGGGACAGTTGGCCGTTGAACTAGAATTCTTAAGAATTCAATTTAGACCGCTGAAACAAAATATCTTTGACTCATTAAAAAATCGAAAATGCAAAAGGTATGGCATGAGTTTTTAGCTTGAGGCAATAGTCGATCTGTCATCTAAGAAATTGATTTTTGGCTACGTAGGAGGAAGGTTGGTACCTTGCAATTTGTCTTTTACTACATTGATTGCATCCCAGTTAGTGACTTCAAATCCCTTCATGAAACACCCAGACTCCTCGTCCTCTTGCCATTCGTATCCACCAAAATTATTCATTTTACTAGAGCAAAAGATAAGGGTTACTTAAATCAGTCAAACGACAGCCCGTTGTTAAAACAATATTTCTTCTGGCAAGCCAGTGCACGATCCTCAACAGCAATTATTTCTATTTTCATGGACTAATACCAGAAATTGAAAAAATAAATCATCAGCTCGGCAGTCTGATGATGTGCCCACATTAGATGGGTAGGTTAAGGAAAAGGAAAAAACAAGATGAACATAATCTGATTCGCTGAGTGACAACGAGACAACGCGTGCGGATCCCTAACCCTTGGCTCTTCTCAAATTAAATTCTTCGAAAAAATCAATTTGCATTGGCATTGATAAAATCTAGCACAAAATGTTTACGACTGTTGGTAAACCATGATTGTAACCCATCTTACTTCTGGGCACAAGGCATCAATCTGGTTTCACCACTTAGATTGCAGAATGCACCCTACACTTCATTTTCCACGATTTTCCATTCAAATTCCTAACTTTCACATGTTTATAAAATACATTAAGTGTTTAATGCAAATTGGTAGGTGCGTTCTTAAATGCAGGAGTCTTATTTTAAAAAAGAATGAATTGTAAATGTTAGTTATCAAATCATGAATTACCACGTAATTTCAAATCGCTGACTTGCGTCAATTAGAGGAAAATTGCAGTCGGCTGAAACCATCACGCTATCCTGCAGAGTTTCTACTCCGTGAACACGTCGAGCAATTGTGTAGAATGGAGTTAACTTAGTTCTTACTTTTGCTGGACTGCAACCTAACAATAAAGGGGTGCAATTCAATTCACAAGCATTTGCTCATTATACTAAGGTACTGCGCACGGTAAAACTAAAGAACTGACGGCAAATGCAATGTAAGCCATGTTCTAGTTGCTGATTTGTTTGAAAAATCTGATAAAATGCCAAAAAACAAGAATGTCAATCGCAAAAGCTAACAATATTACCTAGTAAATGGAAATTTAATAAAAAACTGTTTAAGAATTGAGAACTCATTTGGAAATTTAATCCAACGACCCCCGAGAGACGTGCTACTACTCACCGAATTGACCTCACAGATAGTGCATACAACGATGCAATGCTTTATAAGTTATACAAAGCAAATGTTAAGACCAAAGTCAAACTAAACACATTTTTATGGAAGAAAAGCTTAATGAAAAATTGATGAGACAGGTTGCATTATGGAGAAATTTCAACAGCCGTATAATTATTAACTAAAGCTGAAAAACTAGAACGTATTAAGACTTCACTTCAAGCAAATTTAATAACCGTGGACACAATAGTTTACAGGCAAACGTGGTTACATAAAGACCAAATATTTTCCCATCAACACAAAGACTATATCCCACCAGTACCATGGAAAAACCAGTTGTTTTTAGATATATGTCGCCAAAGTTGGTCCATGGAATTTAATCTAACCAAAATTATTTTTGTACCATCGACGATTCGTAATACAGGGCTTACCCCAAGGTGTCCCCCAAGCTTCTGAAATGGCGTGTTTTATAATGTATTCAAAGCTCTTGTAGCAGGCTGAATGCAGCTTCATGGCGGTCATTGTAGAATCCAGTTCAAATTCAATTGTGCATGTTGTGTTTACCCACCTAACGGAAGTAAGAAAATTATATGTTAATAAAGTGGAAAGCAACAAGCACCTGCCTCCACGCAAGAAACGCAACAGCGGTGGGAAAGGCATGGATGGACTTCAAGTGGCTAGTTGATAGATCCATTCAGATTTGACTCTTCAGCATGATAAGGCATATGTTCGATTTGTTTCCTGAAAATATTCCAACTGAAACTGACGCCAACTAGACGCTAGTGTTGTAAGAGAAAATTTGTTAAGAAAAGATGCAAGGTTTCTCGTGTAGGACACCAGCCCAGGAGGACGTAATTCGACGTACGTGTGAGAGACACTTTAAAGCAATTCTACCATTCATAACTCGAAACACACAGACAGAATAGAGCCCAGCATCGTTCGTTCATGTAGACTGTTGGCATCCCTACGTATAGATTGTAGGCATGCATAATATAATATGCCTAGAAAAAATATTTTGCGAAGCCCAACAGTCAATGGTTAAAAAACAAGAAAAAAAACTCCAAAACACTTTTGCAGAAATGACAGGAACACTTTTGCTTACGTCATTCCCTGCATTCGATAACGCAGACCTTTGGGACAATCGTTTATTGCTTTCTAAAAGATTAACAGAAAGTGATCCCCGGAACCACGGTCCTAGTTAAAATAAACGCTCTAATAAGTCGCTCCCTGTCATATCTTAGGCAGTGGAAAATTTAGACACTTTGTATCTCTGAGTTTCCAGTTTTGATTCGGGAAAAAAAATTTGGGGCTTTTTGATCGCGCTCAGTTCTTTCAAGTTTGGCACCAACTTTCTGATAATGTTCCATATAAGTCAAAGATTCAAAATAACTGCTAATCAAATATGCGAGATTTTAAATTATCATTTACAAATCAGATAGTACTAAATAGTACGACAACAGCAATCACGGATAAAAGCGTCGAACGGCGAAGTCATGGAGCTTACCTCGTTGATTACATCGGTAACACTTCTATCGGTTAATCCTCTCGAGAAGTAGCTTGAACAGTCGTAATTTGCAAAGACTTTTTCTTGGCTCCAGCACACGCCGACAAAAGCAAATACAATCAGGACCGTAAGCGTGAACATACCTACTTCAGTGTGTTAAAAATGATCAATAACTTTCAAACAGACATAGCCGTTCAGAAGCATCACGTGAATTAACCAAACATTTAAGCACATTTGCTAAATCGCTCACCAAATGCTAAATAAAGATTAACACCTTTGTACAGGTAGTCTATCGCCTGATCAGCAACCCATTTATTTTCTCCATGCTGGTGGATTTAAAGATATAAAATCGCTGACCACAAACCAAGTCGTTGGACTTATCGAATCTAACCCAACAGACAAAATTTGGACCATGGCAATCAAGCGAAGTCTGGCGGAAATGATCTGAGTTTACTTGACGTCAGAAATCCGACGATTTTGGTCTTTGTCGAAGAAGTCTGTATGCGCAGTCACTTGGGTCGCATGTGACAGCACAACAGACGCAGAATAAAAGGTAAATAATGCAGAGCTTAATAAAGCACTTGGACTCCTCAACAGAATTTCACGAAGCAAACTGGACATTTGTTTAGCCCTCTTCCTAAAGCCCTCGATGGGAGGGGCGGCCTCTGGGCATTACACAGAGCTGTCAAATAGGCTGTGCTTTGCCTGACGGGGTTTAGTGCGAATGTGACTATCATGCGAAGTCCTCAAACAATTTACTGGATCATTACACGGTTTTTGAGTTGTTTTCAATTTTCCTTAAAATTAACAATCTTGATGGGAAAAGTACCAGTCTAGTAATGTGTAGTTGGTGGCATTCGCCATGTCCATGTGAGATGCATTCAAGGTCGGTCAGTAATGTTCTTTCCACTCACGAGAGGAGATTAATTCAGCGGCTTATCCCGAATTCACATTACATAGCGACGCTCATTTACAAATTGAATGTTAAGCGTTCCTATTGAAACTGACGCATTGGCACGCTAAGAGGCCGCGCTCTTACCGTATCAATCAATCAGTTGATCTCTGCGTTGTCTACGAACTTCTTTCCTGGTCGAATCGTGTCTATGTATGTGGCCGACCCCTGTGCGGTTAAAGAATTACACCGTGCTTCCACAGGCGTCTAATATCCCACTCTAGGTTAATTTGTGGCAGAAATACTTTAGCATTATTGTTAGATTCAAACACCACACTGAGGTATGAGCGTATGCATGAAGTACCGAAAAGTGAAAGACAGCGTGAAATATTTCTCGGAATTTGCATAACAAGGCAATTCTTAACCCAATATAAAAAAAAGTTTCGAAAACCTGCATAATCTGCGGTTAGTTTAATCTGATGAGACAAAAAGAAGTGGTCGAAATATGTATGCACAAGTCTGTAGTTGAGTAGAAAGACAATGGGAGGGTAATGTAGCACAGCCGTAAAAGAGGGCTCTTCAGAGGCCAATCCAGGAAGGAATGTAGCTTCCCCAAGAGTGGGTTTCGTCGGCCTTGTTGGCATGTGGGTTGCCAGTCTGGGCGAAGCGCTGGAGAGTCTCCTTTTCTCTAGGATTCAGGGCCAGTAGGGTGGCCAGCACCTGAACCAAAGAAGACCTCTCCGTCACCGCGCTTGCAGGTAGATCGAAGAACTTGACAATCACGTTTTTGAGGTACTCATTCCGCGTAACAGCGGAGGCGCCTTCAGAGGTATTGACTAAAGACGGATTATTGACGGAGCCTAGATGGAAATCTCGTTCCATGTTTCGTTCATGACGACGAATTTCCGCCTTCAGAATCTAAAGAAAAGATTAGACTAGTTCAGTTACTGAAATCAAACGAATACTAAACGACAGGACGAACCCACTGATGGGTAAATAATCCAAGCATAAATGCGGCTGAAATCATTCAGGTGCACTTGCTCGCTGAAGGTGGATAAAACTATACAAAGTGAAACCTCGGCAGTTGCCAATAACCGAGAGTAGTGCTCTAAATTCAAACTTATGTTTCGCGATTTGGCAACTTAGGCAAAATGGTCCTAATTAAATAAAACGGGGAACTTTTGTTTCACTCGAGTGGGCTTTACGTTAGCTTGAGCAGTAAGCCGTTCTACGGTAGCCTCACTATCTGCAAGCAGACTCCGTGTGTGCTCAAGGCTGCGGTGTTCGCTTGCCAGCTGCGACCGAAGGTTCCCGATGGTTGCCTGGAGTAGCGCGCTTCTTTCCGAATCTGGTGAATCAACAGAGGCAGTCTCCTCTTCACCAAACAAAATTTGTTCCAGTGGTTGAGGTTTTCGCTAGAAATAACCAAAAACATCACCTTACCCGTAAATACCGATGCTCCATAACTATTTGGAATGGGTAAAAAAATATTAAACGCAAGAATTAAGTTGAAGAGTGACAATGCACGGAGGAAAGTCGGTTGTGATTAGGTATGCATCCCCACGCAACCTACGCATTGCCTGTTAGATTAAATAAGATAGAGGACGCATTCCATACCGCCTATAGGCCGCAGCAAGTGGATGGTGATTGCTCGATTGAAAGACTGACGACATAACCGCGGAATTCAGGTAATTTAGATTACTTTTGGAGCCACTCACGTGTGCCTTTGAAAAAAAAACAACTTTTCGATGAATCAGAAAAAGAGTAGGCAAAATTTAGCTATTCGGTAGATAACGCACTATTGCCCTTCCTCTGAAACACAGGAACAATTGAGCCTTCCACCTATTAGTTAGTTGGAATCAAGTCCGAACAACGATGCATAAATCACTATTCATAAGTTATGATTTTAAAACTTTCCGCACTTCAGACACCAGGTAGGTGGGTAATTTGAAGGATTGTTGTGTCGCATTTTTGCCATCTTCCCTGTTCTCCGGTACTATGAGGAGTGACGTAGAAGCCTACCGATATATCTGTATGCATTCAACCACCCACTCTTTAAAATCACACAGCAATTCTTCAAGTGAGGCCACCCATATTGGCTAAGCTAAGGTAAGGTCATATTCTGAAATAACCTGACTATAGTTAAGCGGGCTAGCATCTTAAGAAAGCAAGTGCATACATTAATTATAGGTTCACCGAAATAAAAAAGGGGCGGATTAAAGCGCAATCAGGTGGGGCATCGAAAAAAGGAGTTTGCGTAAAGTGATATTACAAATAGTTCCTTTAGCGATGATTCGACTTCTTCAGAAACTGCTCATGCTACCCGTTATAATTACATGTACTAAGATTACTTTCGGTACAGTAGAGCAGCTTTAGCAGTCCCACTACCACATTCTTTCAAATTACCTCTTCACTTATCACCATCAAGGTTCTCAGCTAAAATATATTTATGGCAATCAATAATGGATTACATAAAGTAGAGGACATTTGTTGCTAAATTGCGTCATAATTTGGATTAGGCAAAAGTGTGTGATTTTGGCTTCACCTTTTACACCGTGTTATTGTTTGTGTAGTCGCTTGAAACGTACTGCAGCCCTTTACAGTGACTGCGTCCACTTGATCTGAGCAAGATCCGTGGAGGGCTAAGGTCAGCCACTCAACGTTACTGTGCATCGGCGCAACCAGCAAAACTGCTTGAGCAGAGGAACGCACTCACATGGTCCATTGTTGTCGCTGGTCTAGACAAATCTGCAGTGCCGCAACTTGAGGCGGGGTGACCGGAGATCCAAGAGTTGAGATGGCTGTTACACCTAGAGCAGAGTTGCTCCTGTGCCGCTACTGACGGTTGAGGACTGTGTGAACTCCTGGTCTGTTCTGAAAGCTCCAGGTGTTGAGCGACTGGTTTCGCTTCGGCTTTTTCCAGCTGAAGCAGCAAATCCGCGATCTTGGCTCTATTACGCATTGCAGACGCATTACAAACAATGGAAGCTAAGTTTATCGTACTTGTCTAAATTCCAGTTTATGCAGCTTGAAGACGTCGGCTACGACCCGTAAAGGTGCCAAGTTAACAATCGAACCATCATAACCAGTGACTGATTTCCCCGATTATCCGTTGGGGATAATATTTAAATCTCGCAGACTCCTGCGTGCATGTGGAAAGCTTAGACGGTAGTGCAGGGTCATGACATGCGGGCCTTACGGTCATCGTGTCATACGCGGAATATGTCGAATGTGCAAAAATTTAGGCACATAGTGAAAGAGGTAACCCTACTTGAAACTTTATTGCGAAGTCGGGAGAGCACGTTTTGTTCAGTGGCAGGTTCAAACAGAACACAATAAAAAAGGACGAACCCAAAAGCAGATTTGAAGTCCTCAGCTTGTGCGGCCAGTTGCTCGGCGTGTTGACGTTTTTCTTCCGCCAATGAGGCCTCAAGCTCTGAAATGCGAGTGGCAACCTCATTTTTTGATTGGGCCGCTAGAAGCTCACGCTCCTCCCGCCATTGTGCGTGAGCAGTGAGAAGGCTCTGGGACAAACGAAGGCATCTACGAACAAGGCAAGTTTGGGTTCAACGACGATTTTTTAACCTGCGACGTGTGACCGGTACTAACGATGCCAATTCATGAATACGTTGATTAGCGCAATTTTACATGATTTATTTGTCAACTCGAGAGAAAATATGTGATCAGAAAAGATAAGGTACTTGAGCATCGTGTCCCCGATAATTGTGGGCATCTAAACACCCCGTCAGCACTATGGTAAAAAGCACCTACTCATTCTTTTGTTCGGCCAAGGCAAACTTTGTGGTTTCAGACTCGATCGTGACCGTCTGCAAGCGACGCTCCATTTCAGAGAGCGACTGCTCAAGTTCCCGAACAGTCTCTTTCAGTCGAGAAGCCTCAGTCTGAACCAGGTTTGAACATTCGTAACGCCAAGAGACGGTATCTCCTTGTGCCTGCTCGGGGATATCCGCAGTGTTATCGACAGTTTGATTATCCTTCCCGTTACGCAAAGCGTGGAGAGCCTAAAACAGAAAAGATCACTTTCACAGTAGGAAACTGAGAGGACACTAGTGGGAAGAGCCGGTGGGCATCCGCAAATGACCGGACAAAATCCAAGCCACCACAACTTTGCAACTGCTCAAGCTTATGTTGGCAAAGCACAAAATGAGCTAGACCAGTGACACTTTTATAAATGCTGTTAACGTGTGTAGGTGAATCAGGAGGTCAGACAACGCAGGAAACAAGAGTGAGTGCAGTGCAGTGCAAAGCCATTCATGGATGTTCTCAAATGCGTGTTTGAATGGTTGGCGATAGTTCTCCTCAAGCGAGTTTCTTGCAAAGATAGTTTTGTATGAAAATTACGATGTGCGAATTTGGTTCTAGAGGCTTCTGAGCATTATATGAAGTAGCTATTAGGTTTTGCTTGTGAAACCTCAGGCAATTTGTACAGCCACCACCACCCGCCGTAAAGACATCAGTCTGATATTCTTTTGATTCACCACTGCCAGCAACATGACACAAACACTGCATCAATAAGAAAATTCTTACAAATTTCGAAACAAGGCATGCATGGATTGCCCACAAAAACACCTATCTTTGCTCTCGTATAAAAAAACTTCACAAATAAACAAATAAGCTGCCACCTTTACTGGAAGATCCGGCTTTGCAAGTGGATCCCACAGAGAGACAGCTGCACAACACGGATAGGTACAATGGCGTCGTGCCTTTTACGTAATTGAGAAGATTAACTAAAACAAATTCCATTTTAAACCAGTATCCGGCCTTCGCCGTAAGCCGACGTCCACGAAGGCATTGTAATTTTTCGTAAAAGAGCATAAACCTTGTTTAAAGAGCAATTGGTATTGTGTGAGAGCCTCGATGTTAACGTCAATCTTTGAGCAGTCGCATAACTTAGTGAAATTGATGCAGGTAACGTTTTACGATCCCAGCTGCTATTACCAAAAATAACCACACGTCATCACAACCGCTCTCCCTGAGGATGATGGGTCAGCGACTTTTAGCTTTATGTTAACGAGGGTTCCTTACAAGACGACATATTATTAACAAACACAGTGGGTAAGAATGATTGATACAAAGCAACAAGGTAGATGAGATATGCAATTAAAAGGTTGAATTTATTCTGGATAATGAGGGACAGTTCTGATTTCAGATTCAAAGCGAGCTTCACGTACATCACTTGTCAAAAGAGAATTTAAGGACCAAGTGTGTTCGTGAGAAATAGGGAAAGGAAATAAATAAACCGTTCAACTCTGCAGCAAACTACTCATGTCAAAAAAGCAAACAGAGAGAGTCAATCAAATTAAACGTGTAATACTCACAACATCTTACCTTAACTTTGTACGCATCAAACTGTTGTTGCAAGGAGTTGAGTTTAATTGACAAGCTGTCGCGCTCGGTCGAAATTTCCTCAAGTCGTGCATCTGCTTCTCGTCTTGCGGCCGCAAACATAGCCTCCGCAGATTCTCTAAGTCTTGCTGATTCCGCCAATTCCTTTATTAATCTTTCCTGCTCCGTTTCGAGGTTTATGACGCGTTCGGACAATTTATCGACCTCCACAGCATCCCTTCGGGAACTCAGGAGCAGTTGCTTGACCTGGGACAGTTCCTCCTCAAGTCTGGCCATGCCCACTACACGCTCTTCTGCCTCTAATGCTCGAGAAACTGCCTCCTCTAATAAAGCGTTTTTTGACATTAATTCGGACTGTAGATCTGATATAGCTTTAGCCTGCTCAACCAATTCTAAATGGGCAATTCGGGACTGAGTTAGCTGGCAAGCAACGCTGGAGAAGAGCTCGTTATCCTCCTCGCGAAGGTTAAAAGGAGCAGAGTTAACTCCTAATGAGAGCTGCCTCAACGCGTCCCGCAAGGCGGAAAGTCGATCGCACTCATCCGAAAGGCGGTCACAAGACTCGCGGAGTTGGTTGATTTCGGTATCCTTGTCACGCACAAGACGATCATAATCTTCGAAGCGTTGACGTTGTGGGTTTTCAGTGGTGGTACGAACAAGCATCTCGGTGGCAGGACTCTTAAGGCTTGGTCCGCTTTCCTCTAAGTTATGCCGGGTTAGATTAGACAAGTCGGAAAACCGTTTATTCACAAAGATAACTAACTGACTAAGGTCTTTATGAATATCTACTGCCTGACCTCGCAGCCTACCAACCTGATTGTAGAGCCGACGAACTACAGCATACCTGAGACGTTGAATGTCGGTTACATGACGCATGATCTGCGAGGATTCCTCTACCAGAAAATGCCTCGCACCTGACAACGAGTCTTTGATCTGCCAGACATCTGTGAATAACGATTCAAGGGAACTAGTGTCACAGGGGTTTGTACATTCAGAGTAATGCGGCAGTAGATGAGGAGAAGATAGCTCCGGATTCTTGTTTATTGCGACCACTAGTTTTACCTGAAGTTTTTGTAGTTTGCGGATATGAATCTGAAGAGACTCAAACCACTGACGTACTGAGGTCTTCATTTCCATTGCGTCGTTTTGCAATGAAGGAAAGATCGAAAAAGCATCCTTCAGCTTAACATTCTTCGGATTTGCTGCATCTTTTGATAAAGAAACTTGGGCTGCCGAGCAATCAAACAGACTAGCCGTGGTAATGGAGGACGCAATACTGCCCATCATCGTAGCAGCATCATCAGAAAACTTTGCCCTTTCTGTAGAAATAGTTTCCTTTAGGTGACCAAGCTCAAGTCGCAATTCAGAGAAACTTTTTTGAATAAGATCCAATTTATCGGAAGTCCTTCCACGATATTGTAAATAGGAGTTCAGTTTATCAATCATTGATAAGATGGACTGAATATTACACAGGAAGGCCTCTGTAAAAACCTTAATAATCGCCTTTGATTCATCACAAATATGCATCATTCCAATGAAATACGATCTGACCCTATCCTTGCGCAGAATTAATGACCGTTGAGACTTTTGTGATGAGGGGCACTGACGCAGAGCAGCCAAACAAGTTTTTAACAGGGGATACAAATCTTCTGAACTTGCAACATCAAGATTGTCGAAGACTGGATCACCAAGTCCTCGTAACCTGTTGACTTCAGTTTTCATGCCTTGAAGTACACAAAGAACCTCAGGGTTAGGTTGATTTCGCTTAACGATGTCAACTAGGTTTTTTAACGTGGCCACAATAAATGTATGATGATGGTGAGATTGTTTGTAAAGATCTTCTGTGTTAGAATATTCGGAAGCATTTGCTGCGATTTCATACAACTCCGTCCTTTCAGTATTTAGAACAAGTAAATCGGCGGTAAGTGTGGAGACCTCTGACTTGATCATTTCTCGTTCCTGTTTAGTCGAAGTCAGCACCTTCTGTAAGTCGCCATTCATTTTTGACAACGTTTCCACCTCCTTTTTACTTCGGTCCAGCTCAGTTTGCAGCCGCAGCAACTCATCTCTAAGTCCGGCACAGCCATCAATCGATTCTGCGCGGAGACAATCACAACTTGCGTGTTCTTCCAGTTCCTTATCGGTAGTTTGCAAAGCAGACACCTTAGACTTTAGGGTTCTAACATCTTCTTCCAATGCCGCTATTGTTTTATTCTTGTGAATAACGAGCAGCTTCAATTTATTTATGACAACATCTCTTTCTCTACAGATCTGGCGCAGTTGATCAATGCTGTCTACGTTCGAATAGCATTCATCCTCTGATACTGTAGACATACTGCATCCTAAAACAGAAGTTGCCAATTCAAGGTCAGTGTTTGTGGATAATTTCTATTTTTCTCCGATTATAGCTGATGAGCTCGAAAATATATTTTCTAATTATGCGTAAGCTTCAAGAATTATTTCGAATTTAAAACACAAAAAAACGGATACAGTGCAACTAGAAAATCTCAGATACTTTAACAGAAACTTCAAGTAGTGTTTTGCAAAACCAAAGAGGTTTCCGAAAAAGGCATAATGCTTCAGCAATAACAGATCAACCTGCTGATGTCGTTGTAAAAATATTGAATTTCTTTCCTCACGTCATTTAGCATCCAAAAAAGATCGTAACAACGGATACGATTGAGTGATGCTTGACATAAATAACCACTACTTGTTTCAACAGCTATCAAACGGACCAAACCAGCAATCAAGACACAAAAACGCTAACTATTTGAATCACACGAAGACAACCACTGTGAGGAGGCACAAGAATTTCTGAAAACAGTCACGTCATGGAGAGCTAACATACTCAAATCTTAAGAAGAAATACAACGAAAAATCCAAATTTTTGGAGTCCGAATGTCATTTTTATCTATAACGTCTTGTTAGAGTAAATAATTTGTGGGACTGCGGGAAGGGGAAAAAAAGTTAAATTCGGAATACGTTACAAATGATGAAGCAGAAAGATTTCGACATGGATGCACTGTCAAACATGTAAGCTACCATGTGAAACTATAATAACTGATTCTAACTACAACGAAATGTCTAAATGATAGCAGAATTCACGGAAGAGCATGGTGTACTGTTGTGCAGCTGTGGTCTTATGGTGTGTGTGGTGTGGTGTGACGTCGGATTAGGGCGCAGACATGTTAGACCACCTGGCCTCAGCCAATCCCGTGTCTCTCTGCGATCCAATGGTATGCGGGAAAGGAAGGCAGCCAACCAGAGAAGGACATGGATGAGATGCAGTATATAATGAGCGGCGTGGCCAGCGTGGTGGACTCGGATGGAAGGCGCCTGGCGCGTGGCTCTGGCTTCTGATTAGTCAATAAGGTCTGTTCCGTTGTACCGCTCTTTTTCCTATTAGGGCTCGGGTATTCTACACTGGTGGCAGCGGATGCGTTCGAATAACGCAAATCGAACCCCAGCCCAATCTCTTATATGGTCAACGCAGGCAAAGACCCTTAAGTGGCAGCTGAATTTGTCATGGCGTTCATCCGATGTCCAAAAAATGGATCCAGAGACATTACCCGGGATTAGGACTACTGCATCTGAAGAGGCATTGGCAATTCAGTGACGACGACTTGGACAGTGAAAGCCAGCTGGACTGCATCTGCGAAGGACCTTCAATGGATGATGAGTCTTTCCTGCAAGT